GAGTTTCATCTAAAACAACACCAAAAATATTTTCTTCGCTCAGATTTGATGAACCTTCTTAATGCTTTACTTGAAAACAACAAATCGCCGGGGTCGCCTTGTTTAAATTCCTCGAGCTTCAAACAATTCATACCGAAAACTTGGTAAGTTTGGCTTTGGTCTTCGATCAGCGCAGTTAGCGGGCAGAGAAAATCAGAGTTCAGAGTGCTTTTCCAACTCTTTTGCGAACGGGAGCGAAGCTTGATAAGCTTATAAAATGAAAGATTTTCCGTGACCAGTGACCCTGGCTAAAGATACGAAAGAAGCTGACTGATGTTTGCGTGTAAGCAGAGCATCGTCAAGCATTTTCGCACGATCTCCTTTCGCCGGCCCTTTCGCCGCCATGTTTTCCTTGCATCCAGTGGGCTCAGTTTCGACCATCGGTTTCTCGTAAAAGTTGATGCTCGCACTCGAAAAACCAGTTTGACGACTGTAAACCAGAATGACTAGCCCGAGATTTGGGGCTACGGCGACTTCAAAGGCTAAAGCAGATTTGTGCAGAGCCTCTTTTTTTCGTCTCCTGTCCGCTCAAAAAAGCGATAAAAGAGGCTCTGCTCGCAAGGTGAACAGAGGCACTTTCTAATCTAGATATTTTTTGGTGATTTTCAGTGTTCCTTTTGACGGAACCACAAGTCATAGCTGGAGGTAAGATTGACACGTATAACACTTAGTTAATTATCAACTATGAGTTGATAAAGGTAAATGAACTGTAGCTGCCATGTTTCAAGAGTTAGTCATTCGTTGCATTGTGTTACACATCATGCTCGGTGGCCGAGCACTAGTGCTGGGCACCAGCACAACATGAGGCTGTGTTCAGATGCTAGCTACACTGTGTAGAATTGTGTTCACATTCTCTCAACACTTTAACTGTGTGGACTTCATCCATGTTATATGCGTTTCACGTTTGATATTACTGTTTAATATAGCTATCGTACTTTTGTAATATCACTTTGGACATGAAAAGCGCAAAAGAGCGCGGAATTTCACGGGAAGCACGAATAAATTTATTGAGTGAAGAATGATCCTCGCAGTAAATTTCCAATTTAAGCAATTGGAAAGAAGAAGCCTGAAAAAAATCAAGGCTTCAACGGGATTCGAACCCGTGACCTCTGCGATACCGGTGCGATGCTCTAACAACTGAGCTATGAAGCTWCACATTGGAAGCACAYTGAACTACCGCAGTTCAAATATGAACTCAATTAATTGACCTCGCTCCCAATGTGTAGCTTCATAGCTCAGTTGTTAGAGCATCGCACTGGTATCGCGGAGGTCACGGGTTCGGATCCCGTTGAAGCCTTGATTTTTTTCAGGCTTCTTCTTTCCAATTGCTTAAATTGGAAATCTACTGCGATGATCATTCTTCATTCATCTACTACCGCAGTTCAAATATGAATTAGTTCTTATATACTTTACATCAATAAATTTATTTTTGCATCTAGAATATTTCATGTTTTTCTTGGTAGCATCGTTGTTAGGCATCTATAAGGACACTATTTGTATCCTTGTTCCATTTCGGTCCGTCAGACGTCATTCTGATACGAACTGTGCGCGTAGCAAGGAAGAGCGGAAAATAGGCATGACAGGAAACCGGTACCCACTTCAGTATCTAAGTAAAAGAAGTCGGGTACGGACATCACTTTATGGCGTAGATACTTACTTATCTGACAAAAAGGCATCTTTAGGTTAGTGCTCAGCGGGAATAATACCCATGCATCGTGCACAGACACCAAGTTCAAAGGTGGCCTAAAGCGTAAGTCACAGTAGTCCGCAGGGACACCGGTTTGTGACTTTTTATTACTGACTCAATTGCATAACAAAATAAGCAAACAAAGAAAATAAATTAGTAAGTGTATCTCATATTAAATTAAGGTTGTCTATTCAGTTTTAAAGTGGAGACTTCGAGTAACGACTTTTAGTCACTAAGCACATATAACTCCCTTTTAAGTCACATTTTCCTACACAATTGGTCTTTCCTAGAAATCTTGCCAAATTTCAATCTGTTACGAACATTAGAACGCGCGTTTTTTGGACCGTTATTTCCGAGAATTTACGGCCGCCATTAATTCTCCTTGTTCCAAGTCTTGGTCGAGAATTTGAGTAAATGACGTCATTTTCTCAAAAATACTACACGGGTCGAAATTATAATAACAATTAGTACTGCAATTCGCATAAGGAATAACAAAAACTTTGGCTCTTATATTCGTGCAATTTTCTACACTAATTGTTACTATAATTTCCAGCCGTGTGGTATTTTTGAGAAAAAGGCATCACTTTCTGAAGGTCCTATTAATTTCAATATGAAACTAAGGGACAAGATCATAGTCTCTTATTGATTGTTGGCATTTGTACATGTTGACTTTGAGAGGGTTTCTAGACCGATTGGCGTACTAGATCACAAACAGATCTAGATACTCGCGAAATTCGAAGGTAAATTATGAATCTCTTATTGAGGTTTTTCTTTGTAAAAAGAAGACCTCTTAGTCAACGGGTCTGGGGTATGTTATGAGCGGGTCAATGGATGAGTGAGTGAGTGAGTGAGTGAGTGAGTGAGTGNGGGTGAGTGGGTGAGTGGGTGAGTGGGTGAGTGGGTGAGGGGGTGAGTGGGTGAGTGAGTGAGTGAGTGATGTATGTGTGTCACACCAGTCAGATTGGGGTTACTATAAACAACCAATCAAATTGCTGCTTGTAAAGGTGAATCATATTTGTGAAAATTTTAGAACGGCCATCTTTGTTTTTCTATAAACAGAAACAGGTATTCTTGTATTGACCATATTCCGACATTTCCGATGCTTCGTTTACTGTGGTTAAGCCCAGGACTTTGTAGATGGGTTTCAAAAGATTTCAAAATTCGATAATCAACCGAGGAATCATAGTCTTTGATATACACTAACATGTCATCAATATACCATCAAGGCTTTGCTTTTCGCATTACTTGAAATTTCGAATGAAATTAGTCTTGACAACTTGGTGATTTCTAGAACAGGAGCGATTGTTTTTAGTGCAAAATACTCTTTTGCGATTGTGAGGGGGCTTTCGTCCGTGATGCTATTCACCAGGTCAGTTCCGATCGATATCCTTTGCATTACATGCAGTTCATGAAAAAAGAATTAAGTCGAAACCATTTATGTTTGCGCAAAAATTTTTCAGTTTGTGAATGCAAGTCTCAATTAAGTAACGCTGTTTACGGAGTAGTACTGTCTTCCCGTTAAAACGTTTCTTAGAATCAATACTGAGATACTCATTTGAAGTGGTTTTCTCTGTCAAAAGGAAAGAAATTACCGACTGGTAGTTATGAATGAGAACACTGCTGGAGTTTTGAAATTTGTTTTTGTCGCAGGTAAAGATATTTTTACGCCCGGGTCAAACGCCGTACTTTACATGAGCCGAACCCAATGACAGTTTGGGTCGACTCAAATAATTAAAAGAACGCCTGTTTGAGTCAAACGTCGAACTTAATTCAGTCGAAACGATCTGCTACACCAAATAAATAACAAAAGCGGTCTTGTTCAGTGGTTTTTCAAGGTAAGGTCAAAATGGCGCCTTTAGTCCTTTGATTATGCGTTTGGTTCGACTCGTGAAGATCGCCGTTTGTCGCAAAGTCGGTACTCAGGCGTTATTCACGGCTGGCCAGGCGTGAAGAACGCCTCAGGCGCTCCAAATAAAATCAGTCGAACTTAATTGGGTCAAACGCCGAACTTCACATGAGCCTAATTGGTTGAATTGGGTTTGGCTCATGTGAAGTACGGCGTTTGACCCGGGCCTTATTTGTTAATTTCAAATGGCAACTTGACCCTCTTTTTTTTCACGCACGAGTGGTTGCAATTAAAACTGACGAATCAGTGACTCTTGTTCTCACGGTCAGAATAAACAAACAAGAAGCCAATCTAGCGGCACGTCGAGACTTAATATAAATGTTTGGAAGTCTTTTTTTTAGGGTGCGTCCCTTTGGGGTGATCTGGATCAGGATTAGTGATCCAAGATCTGTCTGGGTCATGGTGCATCAAAGGAACTGATGAATCCATGACCAGAGTAGATTCATCAGTTCCTTTGATGCACCATGATCCAGACAGATCTTGGATCACTGATCCTGATCCAGATCACCCCAAAGGAACGCACTCTTAGTCTCTTCAGCGGCATTTTAATATCTTACATTAATGGCAATTCTTAAAAACGGAAATTTTTAGCAGTGATTTTCTTAAAGTTTGTTTTATAGAAACTCTTCAAATATTCCTGAAGACTCCATGGCGGCAAGTTAAATCGCAAATTAATTACATTAGACTTTGAGGCGACACAGTGGTTCTTTCGTTTTGAAACAGCTTCCTTCCGTAGTTCAAAGAGGTAAACTTACGTCTTTCTGTTACTGACTTTTTGTCACCAAAAAGGCCCTCAGGCGTTGAGAAGGGTAATGGGACAAAGAAACTTTCTAAGGTCTACAGATTTCACGGCGTATAGTAAAATTTATACAGTTTTTCATGTGTCTGGTTGTTTCAAGTCTTCAATTAGGTAACGCTCTTTTCCTTCAATAATGTGTTGAAATCGATATCATTTTGAAGTGGTTTGATGGAATATCAAAACCGAAAAAACTACGATCATTGCTGGCAACAGAAGAAGACCATACTACCGCGTGACCATGTTATAATTTAATTTGTTCTTGTTATAAAATGAGTCAGAAAAATTATCCAGAATCAACACCAATCTTCCGTTTACCGTTAGCTACTATGGCAGACTGCATAATGTTTAGCTGCCTTGCTGGTAACAGCTCCATGTAGTTTTAATAAACAAGCCACTTATCGACTGTTAAAAATCAAACCTTGATCAAAGTAGGCTTGATATCACATATCCTAAGGTGAAATTAATTCTAAATTTGTTTTTTTTTCTTCGCTGTACATCGTAACCAAACATACTTGTTGGATTAACTTCATCATAACTGTTAAGAAGGGTCCACTGAGTGTTGCTTCTTCCAGGAGCTTTTAATTCACAAAAAATTAACTCTTGCACGCCTTGCGTGCCTATGTTTTATTAGGGGTAGTCATTGGTGTTAGCGTCGTCTCTGAAAAAGCTTCCTAGATAATTCTTTTTAGACTTTTAGTTCGCATAGAGCCACAGCAATCCCGATTGAATACGTTTCTCTGGTTAGTGTGAAGTGAATTTCTCTTTTTGAGTCAAGTATATAGATATTTTCCGGTATCTGAAGGAATCTAGTAACTTTGCAAAGCAAGCACGAACGCCTTGCCATGACAGGTTACATCTCTGGCAGGGGAAAACGTTGAGCTGCAACAAGATGGCATTGTTACCACATGGAGAAACTCGTGAATTTCGCAGTGAATGATGACTGATATTAGCTAAACCTTGTGTAATATGGAATTACCCTTTCAAAAACGAAATACTCAAGTGAAAGGTGAATTGATCAACATGACATGGGGTGGAAGGTCAAAGGAAAAAATGAGTTCATATATGGAGTTCGATTCCTGATTTTGTTTTTGTCCCACGCTCGTTTCATGTTGATCAATTTACCTTTCAGATTTTGTTCCCGAGCTTAAAGCTTTCTAATTATTCACTTATCAAGAAACACTCATGTTTTAAAGAGAAAAAATTACTATAAGAAATAACCAACGCTTCTTTAAGGCCCCATTTATATGGTATCGAGTACCCGAGACAACCCTACCCCCGAGTTACCCTGGCCGAGGTAACTTTTAGCTTATTTCTTTGCAAAATTCAACCAACCGTTTACATTGGGATCGCGAACTCGTTACGGGGGGCGAGACAAATCGGGTAGGGTAACCCTGGCAAGCGGGACAACTTTTCTTTATATAAACGCTTTGGCTCGCCTAACCGGGGCAACTCTCGGCGTGGCGAGTGTCACGTAATGCCTAGATTTAGGTTTTAAGCAGAAATTCATATCAAAGAGGTGACAATTAACTCGGCAAAACCCACTGTGATCGAATGACCGCGGAAAAGTCAAAGAAAGAGGGATATTTGCACATTCAGTTATTCAATAAGGGTTATGAATGATCATACAGGGTCAACTTTGACTTGGCCTACAGGGACTACGTTTTCACATAACTGGGGCCTAACTTTAACTTTCCCAAAGATCTTTTCTCCGGACTTCATGTCCACAGCAGAAAGGTTATTTAATAAATGTTTACCGACGCAGTAACATAATGTTGACAGATAGAAACCAACCTTTTTGTGACTTGAATTGAACCTTTCGCAGCATCTACATCACAATTACGTGACGTACGCCCGAACAATTGAGATTTAAAAAAACACTTTCCCCAATCAACAAACGAACCGGAAATTTTAACACACTTAAAATTAAAATTACATTTTTAGCGAAACACTCGCAGTTACGTAACATGTTGCCCTAGAGATGTCAAACGATATATGCCCCGTAAAACAGCGAAATTTCGAAAAAAAAGTTAACAGATGATCAGCCAACCCCTAAGTTGCATAATCCTCTCCCCCTTTACAACCTGTAACGTGCTAACGCAATTCACGAGTTAAAAATGACCTTCAAGTTAAAATATCTTGGAATCTAACTACTTGTAAGAAAGAGGTTAGAAAGATGCTATTGACCCTTTCGAGGGAAAATCAAATGAGGGCCAATGAGCTATAAGAATCACTGCGTACAATAGAAGTCTTTGTCTAAGTAGTCAAAACAAGCTCATATGATTCAGATTTTTACAATGTAGTCTTGCACTTCTGAGTGTTAACAGAAAATAATTACTTAAATTAAGAGAATTACGTAGGTCTGGCATCCAAACAAAATAGCCGACTCTGGGAACAGATTACGTCAGTAGTAGGAAAAATTGCCTCTGTGCGAAAGAAAGTTGCGGATCACGAAAACCTCGGACCGTGAATCGCGTGACTATGCTCCCAAGAAATCAATAAACTTTAACTGTCCGGTTTTACTTTTAATTGTCCCTAGAACTTTAACCAATAATTAAATGATTATTTGGTTGACAGGGTCAGGATGTAGTGGACTTGTTGAAACTATTTATCTAATCAGCACTCCAAATGGCTCAATCTACAGTCCTGGATATCCTAACAATTACGATGACAACGAGAATTGTATGTGGCGCTTCTTTGCTCCCTTTGGAAGCAAAGTCCTCCTCTACTTTACAACATTTGAACTGGAATATGTTTCAGCGTGTAGCTTTGACAGCGTAGAATTGTTCGATGGACGCGACAATTCCTCCCCTCGTTTATCAAAAAGCTGTGGTAGCAGTCTTCCCTCACCAGTCTATTCGTCCGGTCGATACATGTACATGCAATTCAAGTCTGATAGTTCCAACACAAAAAAGGGGTTCGTGGCTCATTACAGGGAACTTATTGATTCATCAGGTGCGTTTTTCAGACAATGGACAGTAGAACCTCTTTAAGGACACCGAAAGGGCAGAAGTGAGTGTCAGTATGTATAGAGGAAGAGAATACGGAGACGTCTTTACTACGAACAGTTCACTTAGTCCCAGAGTGAATCGAGAATTCATATAATCTTTAACTTTGTAATACAGACACTCAGGTCTGCCCCTTCAGTGTCCGTATTTAAAAGACCCGACAGTATTAACTGTGTTGTATTTGTAGTCGCATAATATGACCATCAATGTAACACGACAAAATAAGAGTTATCAGTTGGTCTGCAACTTACGGCAGCCCAGAAGGGTCACCAACCATTTTTGTTTTTGTTTTGTTTTTGTTTTGTTCTTTTTAATTTTGTATTTTTAACTTTTGTTTTTGTTTTTGTTTTTTCTTTTGTTTTTTGTAATTTCTGTGTTAGTTTTCGTTTTGCCTTTCGTTGTAATTTTGGTTTCTGTTTTGCGTTTCTTGCGTTCAAAAAGGAAACAGAAACAAAAACCGGCATTGAACAAAAGCAAAAACGAAAACGAAAACGAAAACGGCCGAAACAAAATCGATGAGTGTAGACCATCATGCTTCACTTGCAGTTGGGAACTTTACAATCCATGACGTGAAAGTAGTAAGTACGGAACGTTTACCACAAAGGGGGTCTTTGTACTGTGTGCCACTCATGTAAGGCAAGGCATGTAAGGCATGAAAGGCAAATTCTGTCCCCCCTCAGTGGCCTTAGTAAGGTATGGGTCCCTTCCAGTATTGTCTCCTTCGCCAGAAGGAGCCCACGTGCAATATGTTTCCATCTGTCAAGTTTCTATTACACTGAAACACGCAAACCTCAAACAATAAAATAGAAATAAAACACAGAACACGCAAAMAACGAAACGATCATCGTGGAAAGTGAAAATAATTTCTTCGCTGCTTTTGAAGCCAGTAGAAGTTTAGGGCCGTAGCCAGACTTTCAAAACAAATGAGGCAAGTCTTGCAAGCTCCGAAGGCGCGCGTGCAATAATTAGTTCATTGTGAGAGCTTAAGATTACATTCGTTTGCGTTGGGCTTGAGAGCTCTGAAAATGCTATGCTTTTATTTATATAACGACCTTTCAACACTTTTTACAAGTTAAGGAAGTTGATGAAGAAATATCCTTGACTTTACTTGAAATCTTTGTGACATTTGTACTTGCTATATTCTTCTCCCAAGACAAGTACACAAGCAATGAAATGGCCGTAGAGTTTATAGTAACCGATGCGTGACTACGCCTGACGGCCAAAAGATCACACAACGGTCATGTCATGGATACTGCCAGCAAAGCATGATGGTCTACACTTACTGATTTTGTTTTGGCCTTTTGCAATTTTGTTTTCGTTTTTGTTTTTTTGTTTTGTTTTTTTTGTTTTCGTTTTTGTTTTGTTAATTTTTGTTTTTGTTTTTAATTTTTGTCTGCGTTTTTATTTCTTGTTTTTGAACAGAAAAGAAAAGATGACAATGAAGAACAAAAACAAAACAAAAACGGAAACAAAAATTAAAAACAAAAACAAACAAAAATTAACAAAACAAAAACGAAAACAAAAAGTAAAAGACAAAAAACAAAAACGGAAACAAAAAGTAAAAAAAACAAAAAACGAAAATGAAAACAAAAATTAAAACAAACATTAAAAAAATAAAAATGGTAGGTGACCCTTCTGGGCTGCCGTAATACGCAACTAGCCAAGTGGTAAGCCTAGCTGCTGGAGCTTACCTCGTTTTCTGTAAAATTTAGCTACGAAAAGTTTTTCTACTACACGCTGGATGGGATGCTAGTCCATCCCAGGGTTACCACCCAGTTTTAAGTTCGCCGGCACCCATTTGCATAGCTGAGTGGAGAGAGGCATTGCGAGAGTAAAGTGTCAGGGCCAAGGACGCAACACCATAACCCTTGCCAGGGGCCCTTTTCTTGGAGGTCCCGAAAAGTTTTCGCACCCGGAAAGCCATAGCAAAATCTCAAACCTAATGAATGCAGAGCTATTTTATTCACATAATCTTAATATGTACAGAGGTTCCCTTCGTACAGGAAGATTCAGACGTATACACCTCTCTGTTTTTAGATACAGATTAACTGGACATGGCTTCGCGGGCCCGAAAAGTTTCGCGGTCTTTCGACAAACAGGCCCTAGTGCTAGAACTCGTACCACTCCGCCCGGTTTCCGGTGCCACTCTAACAATTAGGCCATTGCGCCGTCCAGGGAAGGGAAACAGAAATCAGCTCGAAATAACGGGGATCTGGAAGTAATAGAATTCAAAATAGCCAATGACTGAAAAAGACACGGGCAGATCCAAGGGAAATGGTTTGAAATAAGCAAGTTCAAATCAGCGGGGTCAAACTGGTCGTGTTTAGTTGTTTTTTATCCATCCCTTGTTGCTGTTATTGTTTATTTGTTGAGTAAAATAAAAATGTTCTAGAAAAAAGGGAAATTTCGAGTAAATAATCAACTTTCTGCACGTCGAATTCAGTAACATGGTTAATGAGGGTTATAAAGACTACGCTTCTTCCCTAGGTTCCTTATTCCTGGTGGAACTTAATAGCCATGGAATTTTGGCGAATATTGAACTCTTTATTAATGTACCAATAGAGTGGACAAGACAAAATTACAGGAATCACCGTGCGGATTTTCTGATGTTAAACAAAACATTTAAGGGGTTGCAGTGAGGCACAGTCGTTGAGGTCACTTTCAGTTATGAACTTCATTGACTTAAGTTGTTATTTTAGGTTGTCCACAAATCGACCCGGGAGCTTCTGCTGGCGTCATTTACAGCCCCAATTTTCCTTGGAACTATCCAAACAGCATATCATGTAACTGGACTATAACGCCAGTACTTTGGTGGAAGAACATAAAATTAAGTTTCACGAAATTTGATGTAGAGTATTCTTACTCCTGTCGCGACGACTACGTGGAGGTGAAAAGTGAGTATGGTGTCCAGATAGGAAAGTACTGTGGTTCTACAATCCCCTCGCCTGTCACCTCGTCTGGATCTATTCATGTTCAGTTCCACTCCAGTTATTGGACCAGTGATTCTGGATTTATGGCATTTTACCAAACAGGAGTCAGCTTTTCAACTCCAAACCCAACGTACTGGCCAACGCAATGGCCAACGCACCCGTACTGGACTACATACCCGGCTACCTACTCGCCGTCTAAAGCTTCAATTTACGCCTGTAACAAACATTATCAAACAAGTAAGTTCTTTCTCCTGTCCAATTTTAGCACACGCTTCAATATTACTATGCAAAATCATGGAAGTGAATCATTCTGAATAATACCGCGGTATAATGGATGCTATTGTTTATATTACCAGCGCGAGCACAGACATTTTGTGAGTAGCTTGATTTCTAAAAAAAATTGTGCATGGCGACGAGGTTGATCGTTAGGCTTGTTATTTTTGTATTGGTAATAGCACGGCCTAGCTCACACTTGCGATATAACGACATAAACATAAGGACATAANAAAAAAATTGTGCATGGCGACGAGGTTGATCGTTAGGCTTGTTATTTTTGTATTGGTAATAGCACGGCCTAGCTCACACTTGCGATATAACGACATAAACATAAGGACATAAGAAGGACGTTATGTCGTTATGTTTGTAGTGTGAACATGCTGACATCCTGACATAACTGCAACATAAAAGCATGAACGTAACTACATAAGGAAAAAAACTAATCTTTTCCTTTGTCGTTATGTCTGTGTTATTATGATGTTATGTTTCTGTCAAAACAGGTCACATTAGTATTTTTGTGAGTAAAGCGAACAAAGTTCTGTGTTCTATCAAAGTTCTGTAGGCATCGCTAATGCAAATGTTTTTTCTTGGCCGTACAAATCTCTTGTACGGCCAATCTTGGAAAATGCGGTACCAGTCTGGTGTCCGTACCTTGTCAAGGTCATCCGTACCCTTGAAAACGTACAGCGAAGAGCATCAAGACTTTCATTAACTCAACGCAAAGGAGAGATGTCCTACGAAAACCGATACAAACTACTAAAATAGTCAACTCTGTCCGACCGTAGAACTTCCCTATCTTTAGTTATTGAGTGTTTTTACCATTTGAAATTTGAAGACTTTTTTGATTTCGTCACGACTCGGTATATGAGAGAAAATCATCCGTACAGACTTTATGTCAAACCCGCAAGACTTAATTGCCATAAACATTCATTTTTCATTAGGATTTTTATATTATGGAATGAATTACCAAGAGATGTAGTGAAATCTGACAACCTTCAGCAGTTTAAATCTAAGCTCAACTTTCTTTGTCAGTCCTTATCTTTAGTTCTCATTCGTATATCTAATTTGCTTCTGGAATAAATGAAGCATGTATGTATGTATGTTCTAATAACTGAGGCTTTGGACAAACAATTAAGAATAACAATCGGCGATAATAATTTCGAATGACGTTTCGATGATTCATTCATCATCAGCAAATTCTTAAAGTCAGATTCTTATGAGTAATTTATGTACTAAGAATGCGTGTGAAAGTCTCGTTGCATGTCATTAAAAATTCTACAATGTGGAATGTAGAGAGTGTTAATTAAGTACTAAATAGTGTTGCTTTAATTGACTCGGATTCAGTGTTCAGTTTAGGTTTCATTTCATAGATGAAGGGCATTTCGTAAATTAAGAATTCAAATTTCCCACGACATTTCTTAAGGATGGTAAATTGTTCGTTAAAAATCTTTGTTCCTCTGATTGTGGGCGTCATGCAGGGTTTTCCTATAGCTGAATACTTGTGTTCATCAATGCGTTGGAAAAGGTGTCGGCGAGTATAGCTCACACAGATCACATTTGAATTTGTAGACAACACCTTGTTGACTTATTAACGGTGGTTTGGCCTCTGCTACTTTGATGTCATCGGCAATTTTCTTGCTTGTGAAAACTGGGCGTACATGTAGATCGCTGTTTATTTTCTTTCCACGATCGGACAGCTGTCTTCATACAACGTCAGCTGATATTTATCCTTGGCTGGCAGAATAATCCGAACGGGTGCATTTGCTTGAACATCGCGAACTTATGGTTAATTTTGCGACTCGATGAATCTAGTTACGGTGGAATTAATGAGCTTCTCTGGGCACTTCAGTTTCAAGAAGATCCCTTTCAAGCTGTCACATACTTCAGGAAATAGATCTGGTGAGGATGAGAGACAGTGGGCACGGTTTAACGTAGTCATTAGAAGGGATCGTTTGTAACGGGCATCAACATGACTTTGATAGTGGAGAAGAAGGCCCTTATTTGTTGTTTTCCAGCAGACACATGTTTTCAGCTGCTTTCCAATCTTTATGAGCTCCATTCCGATAAAAGGTAGTTTGTTGTTGTTTGCAACTTCCATCGTGAGGCTGATTGCTGGGTGTGCAGATTTTCAGTTTCAAGAGCAGCGTGTGCGCAATCGTTGTCAATCAGGGAATAAAAAACGATGATAGAATCAATCAGATTCGTAGATTTCCAAACAGAACTCAGCTGAGTGGCTACTAAGGGCAATTATATCATGCTCTACACATATGGTAAGCGTACGCGTAATTTGCTGTGACGTTTTTTAATTCTAATTTTCTATATTTTTGGGGGCGTTTTCAATTAAACAATTTTTTTCAGTCGCGCTTGTTGGATGTGAGACGATTATAGCCAACTCGGCGCTACGCGCATCTTTGGCTATCTATCATCTCATATCCAACGCGCACTCGAGGGATAATTGTAAGCTCGTGATTTACGAATTTTTCTCGTGTTCTTCCGACATCCCGCGCGGTTTATCAGCCTATAAACCACAAAAACTTGTGGTCTATTGCTTAAGTAGACACCCAGATGATCGCTTGTCGATAACGTGACAAATTGGCGCGCGGCCGGAATAACCAGTCACGCTCGAGAATTTTAAGAGAGTTACGATTAGATTTGTTATCACCAGTTGGTTTTGCGGTTTTTCAGCCTAAAATTCAGTAAATACACGAAATATACAGTTAGCAAATTAAGGATTAGGGTTACCTTTCTTTCTAGGTAAAGGTAACTTTATATCAGATTTAAACGAATCTAAAAACGGAGCGATAGCTACACAACACAGAATGAAATAGTCGATGTCAATTGAGTCGTTCCATCGATAACTATGGATTAATCGATTACTTTTTTCGATCAGCCATTGTCATCGACTGGATAAAAGCTCTAATACACTGTAGCTTGCAGCTGCCCTAAGAACCTTGGGCAATGTATAGCGGATGCACTTTAGAACAGACATGACGTCACTTTTAACCCTCCAGTTATTGCGTTAGTAATTGTGATCTCACCATTAAATATGTCACTTTTTCTTTAAGAAATTTTTGTTGCAAGCTCAAGTTCGTCATCCATTGCAAGCAGTCTAGATATTGACGACTACTATCCCACCAGCATACCTTACTCGAGTTGCACATTTAAAATTGACACGGCGAATGGTTACATTCTGGAGCTGAGTTTTACAAAGATGACAATATCTAGCTGTTCGAGCTGCTCGTGTGGATACGTAAAAGTTAGAGATGGAACCTCATCATCTTCTCGGCTTCTGGGCACCTACTGCAGTTCAAACTATCATGATGTTGTGACATCTAACGGAAATCACATGTTCGTTGAATATTATGCCCGTCAGAGAAGTGACAAGTTTAAAGCAACAGTCCGGTCCAAGAAAGGTACTGACCTCTTAGTTATTATATGTTCGTAAGAAATTGTGGTTTTTTAATTTGTTTTAATTAAATCCTGTCAGGATTCATCAGTCACCTTAGATAGCAGATGTCTGCAAAGTGTCCTCCCTTGCACAGCCGAGGGACTCATTTAAACTTTCTGTCATTTTGTGAGTCACGGAGGTAATTGTCAAATTAGACACGTATGCGCAGTTTAAAATTTGAGATATTAGAATGAGCTTCAGTGAATTTTGAATGTTCGTTATCATAATCCGAAGCAATGGGAAATACAACTTTAACTTGTGAATAAAATGCCAAACCAAGTGGAATATGTTTTATATAAATGCAATGGACACTAGTCAGTGTTGTAGATTTGATTTAACGTATTCTGACAATCATACTGCATAACAGAGAAAGCTCACAGTACAAAAGAGTTACTTTGTTATTTGATTCCTTCTATAGCTCAAGGGGTCAACGTTCCTGCCATTGTGGTGCCTATTGTTGTTGCAGTTGTCTTGTTTTCGATCATCTTTGTTGTAATCAAGTCCACCAAGATCAGGCGTTTGTCTTCTGTACATGACGTTCCTGTACACCCCATAGCACGTGGTGCCGAGCAACCACCAACTACACAATCTCCGCACTCTAATACAGAGTTTGATATGAGATACCCTCCACAGTCTCATACACCTGAAATATCACAACCATCGGCCCCAAATACAGAGCTTGTCGTACCCCCTTATCCCGAACCACTAGCCACAGCTTCTCATCCTCCACTTCCGTCCTCCACTGATTATTCACAAGGTAACACCAACATGTCACTGGCAGTTGAGACGGCATAGATGTGAAGGTTTCCAAGATGGTCACTAGGAATTATGGAAGTTCGACAACGGCTGATTTTGTTGGAAAAAATCTCCCAGATAACAACAGTATGTAGTCTCGAAAGTAAATGTAAAGGCATTAGATGAACTGGTGCAGTGCAAATACAGTGGAACCTCGCCTTACGGCCACCCCATTAATACGGCCACCTCGTTATTCCGGCCACTTTATTCTGGCCCAAACAATAACTCAGTCCGTCATTTTCTTATTCAAAGAATCCGTTTATACGACCACCCCGTTTAATACGGCCATATTTTTGTGGCCCGTTGGTGTCCGGATTATCGCTGTTCCACTGTATCTGTGATAGTAAGTGAAAATAGCTTTAAAACTAATTAGTTTTGTCGTGTTAGTTACTCAACTGAGTAATATAAATGGTGTGGAAAAATATTTGTTTAACTTGAGAACAGGGTATAACAATTTAACCCTTTGAGGCCCAATTGCGCATATCTATGCGTAATTAATGCTCATGCTCTCTGTACCACTTGTGACGTCATCAATTTAAATGTCATCAGATGTTCGTGATAAGCAGATAGTAGTATTAGGCTAGGCCTTTCCGTACAATGGTCAGATTTAGATATCGACGACATTCCGACGTCGCAAATCGAAAAACAACGTTATCAGTTTTGGTGCAAAAACGGTGGTAAAATGGTCCACTATGCCTATGATTGATCAAGGTCCTTTTCTAGGCTTCGCCCGTAATTAACATCCAACGTTTCGCGGCAGCCAGAAAGAACAGGAAACGCAAAAGGTAGCCAGAGTAAAAGAGCCGAGAAAAAAAGAAAAGAAAGGGGCAACAAACAAAATTGAGAACCGTTAATGGCAAAAAAAAGAAAAGTCCCAATTTTGGCTTATGCGCATGCCCGGAATTGAAATATTGCTCAATTTTGTACGTAATCCTCGAAAAATCTCTCCTTTTGGTAAAAAAGCTTTCTTAGCAAAACTTAGGCTTATTTAGCGTCATAGCAGCCAAAAAACCTAACTAAACGGTAAAAACGGGTATTTTTTGGCGAAAATTTGCTATTCAAAGGGTTAATAACGTGTTCGTCGTAATGCGCATTTAATGAAGCACCCTAATTTGGCAAAGCATACAATGTAAAAATTCTCTACTTTTTCTGTCTGAGTTACTTAGTTTAGTTTTTTCAGCAATTTGAGCCTAATAATCTATTTACTCACCTAGACTTGAGGGGGTTTTAGAACTGACCAGGAAATGACCTGTAACTCGGTGGTTAGAGCCGATATCCGACGTGCGTGCTCAAGGTCACGGGTCCGTTTCTCGTCAGGCACTGACTTTTGTGTCTTTCTCATTTAAAAGTTAGTAGTTTTTTTTGGTAGAATGGAGACCTGTAGTGGCCCGAGCCATGCTTACAACATATTCTACTCGCTACTGTAAACGCCAAAGCGGTAAAAAAGATTGTACGCCAGGTCCGAGACTAAACCCTGCCCATGATGAGAGAGTTTGTTAAAAAGTGAGTTCGTTAAAAAAAATTTCCCTTTGGTAAACAACTGTCTCCGTTTATACTGGCAACGTGGTTATTCTTGGCCTGGGAATTCAAGAGGGAAATTTCTTCTTTTAGTGAGTTTTCAAGGAGAAAAAAAAAGATACACGATAGAGCTTTGTTCCGCAGGAACAGGTTAGAGAGTACTTAGATGATAGTTGTTTTTTATTGTTTTTACTTTCCAGAATTGTTTTATTGTATGAACAGTTTTAATCAGTGTTAAATAGTATTCCCTGTAAATATTTCATTATTTTATATCGTCACCAATTACTGGATTTATTATGCATTGAACTCACTAACTCTTTTCTGATTGGCCGAAAGCATACTGTGAATTTTCGAAATCAGCGCCTGTGACGTCATCTAACTGCAGATTATGCAATAATCATGTCAAGGACACTCAAGGTCATGTTATTTATGACTGTAGTGTATGATTTCTTAAGGTCATCATGTCCAGTTTGTGTGCTTTGTGTTGCTTGGCGTCAGTGAAGAAGCAAAGACACGACTTCCATTTTTTTTTT